TGATTGGATTTATGAGGATGTTTATGATAAAATCAGTAGCAGCCAATTTGGCGGTCTGCCTGGAACATCTACAATACATGCGTTGATTTATTTGTTACATAAATGGCATATGGCAATGGAAAGCCCCCAAAGAATTGTTCGTATTACGTTTCTTGATTTTCGAAAGGCATTTGACTTGATCAATCATAATGTGCTGCTAGAAAATTTTATGCAAATCGGTGTTCGTCCAGCTGTGGTTGGTTGGTTTGCATCATATCTTTATAACAGATCACATGCAAGTAACGTCTTTCCATGGAGAACAGTCTGATTGTAAAAGTATCAAGGGAGGCGTACCACAAGGGAGTAATTTGGGTCCTATTGCGTTTATAATAAAAATAAACCAATTACCAACGTCTATTATACCCAATAACCAAGATCAAATATGTAATGCCGTAGAAGACCAGGACGTAGCGATGTTTATGGATGACACAACATTATCGGAAGTAATCAATGTCAGTGACCATTTAGGTGGCATCCCAATCAGTAATACTCAAATGAACGTAGACAAGGTGGTACAGTTTGCAAAGGACGAAGGAATGGAACTAAACTATATAAAAAATGTATGGAGATGATTATTGACTTTAGGAAAAATATGACCTCTATACCCCCAATTTATGTTGGTGGTCATAATGTTTCTCGAACGAAGTCATATAAGTTACTGGGAATATGGTTAGATTGCGATATTAAATGGAAAACTAATACGGAATATATTACAAAGAAAGCGGCCAAGCGTCTGTATTTATTAAAGATCTTGAAGAGTTATGGTGCCCCCATGGATGATTTGTTAGCATTTTACTGTTCGGTAATTCGTCCTGTTTTAGAATATGGTGCGGAGATTTGGAACGGAGGTCTAACCCAAGAGCAGAAAAAGAGCATTGAACGAATTCAAAAACGAGTACTTAGAATAATTTACCCAAACCTAGACTACGACCAAGCAATAACTGAGACAAAATTACAAACTTTGGAAGAACGTAGGGACGAATTATGTGTATCTCTAATTAAAAAAATGCTGGAACCAAACCATAAACTTCATAGCCTCTTACCAAAGAAACTAAAATACATTAGGCAAAAAGAAACAAGAACTAACAGTCAGAAATTATATAATTTCCCCTCTAAAACCGAACGTTTTAAACACAGTCCTTTAGTTTACTGTATATACTTATATAATTCTAGATTAGCTGATTAGGATCATCATTTTTAAAATTTTATCAGTCAATGTACAAATAGGTATGCATTAGTAGTTTTTATACATATTGTAAATAGATATAGATTAGTAAAACTTTAATTTTAATGAATGACATGTAAATATATAATATATATATATACCTTTTTATACCCAAATTTGTAAACACATTGTAAATTAGCGTAACTACTACTAAATGTGTTAATAAACCATTACCATTACCATTACCAAAGATAAAATAGTCTAGGCTCAGTATATAATTATAGATAAAAAACGTAATACTTGATGTAAAGCGCGTTTGGTCATATTCACATGTAAATTTGCGCTATAGAAATGTTAACTTAATCGTAAACGTCATAAGAACAATAATGGACCAAAAATTGAGCCTTGTGGGACGCCAATTAAATTTAACTTTTATAAATGATGACATTGTTCCATTTACAGAACATGCTTGTTTCTCTAGATCTATTGGCAAAAAGGGATGCAAAGTGAAACTGTCTCTTCCGATTGTTTGCAGCAACTTATCATGACTGATCGAGTCAAATACTTTCCCAATGTCAAGAAACACAATCCCGTTTAGTTCCCCGTCGTCCACGCACATTTGTAGTTTTGAGTTCCGTCCTATTTTGGTATTTTCACTACGTAGGGACCAAAATAATCACATAACGTGAACTGGAATGGCCAATGGTGACGTCTGGGATCAATTGTTGTTCGGGTAGGTCGGCTAGTATAACTTGAGCTTCGGCTATAGCTTGAGCTATATACTTGACTGGCTTTGCAAGATAATATCCTCTTATAATCCAGTAGTTTCGTATAATTTAGTACTTTCTTATAATCCAGTAGTACATTGTGAGCTGTTTATGAACTCAAGATTAGGTCGTACACTTTCGCAACTTGAATGAGAATTTTCCGTTTCGTGCTTTGTTACAAAACTTATCTGATCTTTGGCACTGTTCCAGACGACACCTGATACTTTATCTTACGAACTTCGTTGAAGAGGCTTTATCTCATTATTTTATATTTTTATTTATTTTATGGGAAGTGCCCCGTATAGGACTTGGAGTCCCGTTCGCAATTTCCCAATTGGGTTCTTTTGTTGTTGCTTTTTTTTAAAATTATTGTATCTTTGCCCAATTATTTGTTAGTATAATTATTGTAAATATAGTTGTTAATGACCCAATAAACTTCTTAAAAAAAAAATCTCTTCCTGTGCTGCTGGTTTTCGGTATTCTGCTCGAACTCTTTGTTGGATAACCATCTTTTTGTCTTAAATCCTTCCGTTTCCAATATGCTGTCAATTTGTTCAGTTAACTGTCGAGCATCTTCAGTTGAATAGACTGAGTCGCAGATGTCGTTCATGTAACTGTTGTCTCTGATTACTGCTGCTGCACGTCCGCTCTCATTTTCTCCTTCTTGCGCTGTCTTCCGTAGGACTATTTTTGCCATAGCTGGAGCAGTTTTATCTCCAAAGGTAAGCACTGTCTTGACTTAGGTGTGCGGTTGACGGGTGGTATCCAGAATTCGCCCGATAAAACGGTGGACATATTGGTCTTCTTGTGGTATCAATACTTGATGGTATATATCTTAGAAATATCGCCAGATGCTGCGACTTCATTCTCTCGAACCAGAGAATCACACCAAATGAACTATTCAGAAGATCTTGGCTTTTCAAACCAATGATCATCGAACCACCTTGACGGCGGATGAATTGAATATCAGGCTTCATTAATGGAGGTCTTCATTAATTAATATGGCTTTAAAATGAAAAACGTAACTTGCGTTTGCGCAGACAAGTACAGAGTATACGATACCTACCAAGATAGCATATTAAAAATACAAAGGAAATTTCCAAACATTTAGAGAATTAAAAATCATTGACAATACTCAATAGTTTACCTTTCAAGCTTTTGGATAAAATGCGTTAGTAGGTCTTTGTAAGGCGAGCTTTTCAGGTTCAATTATCATGCTTATGTTGCTTTTCCGTCAGGGCCTTTTTTAAGGATTTTCCCGTGGGGGGGGGGGCATTTTTTGAAAAGGGACCTTTCTGTGAGATAACATATTACGGGGAGATAGCAATAGCTGAAGGCCACTTGTGTGACCACACACCATGCACGCATGAATGGGGGGGGGGGTCTGGGGGTGTACTCCCCCAGAAAATGTTTGAAATTTGAAGCACGGAAATGCCATTTCCTGCATTCTGAGCAACCAAATTTGCTCCAAAATGTATGCTAACTATACTTGTATTTGAAATAAAAGAAGGAAAAAACCAACAAAAAGTAAAAAAAAAATATTAACCATAATTTATCATTACTTATTAGAGAAGGATACCAATGGTCACGTGTGTGGGGGTGTACTCCCCCAGAAAATTTTTGAAATTTGAAACACGGAAATGCCATTTCCTGCATTCTGAGCATCCAAATTTGCTCTAAAATTTATGCTAACTATACTTGTATTTGAAATAAAAGAAGGGAAAAATGCACAAAAAGTAAAAAAGAATATTAACAGTAATTTATCATTATACTTATTAGAGGGGGATACCAATGGCCGAAGGCCACTTGTGTGGGGGCATAATCTCCAGAAAATGTTTCGAATTTGAAACCTGGAAATGCTCTTTCCTGCATTCTGAGCATCCAAAAAATAAAAAAAATAATTAACAATAAGTTATCATTACTTAGTGATAGAAAAACGTAACAATTTAAATCGATTTTGTTAAACAAGGACAAAGATAAAGCCTAAAACTTACTTTCCGTTTATTTATTTGTTATTCTTCGCTGTTTTGTTGGTATAAATTTAGGGAAAAGGGACTTTTCCTGGGGGGGGGGCAAAATGTGATTTCGTGGGGGGGGGGCACAAGGGGGGACTGGGGGGCATTTGCCTCCCCCCCAGCTTGTATGTTAAAAAAGGCCCTGTTTTCCGTCGGGAGGCAGTGGGGGCAGATACTGTACTGGCCTGCACTTTTTTAAAAATTGAAAAATGTCCCATTTTTCCAACGTAAAGTGCCCTTCTTGGACGATAAAAAAGTGCTCTATTCTAGTCACTTTTAGATAAAGATGTTAGATGAATGTTAGATGAAGTGATGCTTCCACGGGCTATGCCGTCAACAGCGATTAAATTACTTTTATTTACAACTGATAAAATCACTGATCACTTGAATGAACATCACGCTATTTCACCAAGCTTTCTCTTGATTCTGTCTAGTGATTCAACGACAAGTCGACAAATAATGCCCTTTTGGCTTAAAAGCCTTATTCTGACTTGTTTCACTAACACTTGATATTATAGTACAGATTTATATTATTTGACATTACCGGACAACAGGCTTTTCTATTCCAGCAAATTTTGTTAAAACGTAAGCATCTGAACTTTATACAACCAAATGCTTTTGATTGCGGTATCGTGCAAAACTCTGTACAGGACCGTTTAACGTTGATTCGCGGTTTTATCCAACGGGCACGGAGATGCACGTTATCTTTATAGGCATTGAACTCCCCGAAATCCCGAACGGGAATCCAATCCCAGAATCCGTGTCCCCTTAATGCGATTGCCTGTTGTTTTACTTACCAGATTGTAAATGCGATGCTGCATCCTGCGCATACGTACTAATCTGTGTAGATCAGGGGTCGGTTGTGAGAAGGCCGTAGCAACATAGAATCTTGAAGGGTCTGTGCCAGTGTAGTTAGCGCCAATAATAACAAAACTTTCGTTGGTAGGGTGCAACTACCTAAAAAATACAAGCCAGGAGAAATTCGACTCAGAACATCGTCGAATTTCTCCTTCGCAGACCTTGCCAAAAGTAGGTAGTTGCCAAATCAAAGTGCCTGGGGACGAGGCTGGACAGTTGCACCCCTACCAACGAAAGTTTCGTAGCAACATATCTGTACTAATCACTGATACAGATCAGTGGTAATAATTTGTAATGCGATCAGGGGCGGCAAAACAAGGGCTAGGGAGCTATAGCCCCTCCCCCCGCCAGAACGATCACAATAAATTGGCAGTAGGATCCGGAATTAGTACTTTATGTAATTGTTCAAAATGTTTTTGATATATAATAGCTTTGCAATTCGTTTAGGAGATCACCCTGCCTCGTACCCAGGCGCTTTGGTTTGTTTACGTCATTAAGCGCACGTGGGACAGCACGCGAGGAAGAAAAACGGAAATCGATCAAATTAATCCACGCGACCCACGCAAAGGCCGCGCAAGCAATAGAACAACACATAGCGCCTGGGTACGAGGCAGGAGAAAATAGCGCAAAATTTTAAGAAAAAAAAATTCGTACACCAAGAGTTTGAAAAAAAAATTCGTGCAGAGACTTTTCAATAGGGAAAATTATAAGTTGAAAAGAATTCGTCCAAGGGATTATATCTAAAAAAAATATCCACGTCTGTTTGTTTCAAAACTTCAGAGAAGTAAACTCCTATCAATCCAAACAAGAGATTTTGAAGATTTTCGTTCCACCCCGCAATTAGGGCGAGGGGTTAGATGCCTCCGGTTAGAGGTTAGATTGGTATCAATGTGTCTGTATGATGATATACATCAAATACAAAAGTGAAAAGTGCACATGTAAACACACATGGTTGCACATGTATGATAGACATCAAACGGATATACATCATAAAAATGAAGAGACAATACTGGCTAACTAATTCTGCGAAAAACCGTCAAGTAGTTTTTACTGCCCTAAAGAGAAGCATTCACCCCCTGGAACATTAAATTTCAATGTGTTTTCAGGGGGTGACGGCCTCTCTTTAGGGCACTTGCTATAAGAACATGGCCGGGACTGGAAAAATTATTAAAGCGGCATGATCAACCACAATGCAATGCGCGCTTTTGTTTTCGTTTTTTAGTTACTTTCCTTTAAAGACTCATTGTCAACCACAATACATTTGTTTACATCTTTACCTTCGTAAGTGAGAAATAGCAAGAAATGAAGATTATAAACATTTCTTCGGTGCAATTTTAGTATAAACAAGACTGCTCAGGCGTTCACACTGACCTGAAAATGACGACATACGAGCTACGGTGCAATAGACAAGAACTAAGTCGTGAACCGCAGACGCAAAGCGTGAAAGGCTAAAAGCGTGCCGTGATCCTCAGGAGATGTTTTCGTAATGCCCAATAAACACACAAGTATTACTCACAAATACAAACGTTATCCACGAATGCACATGGTTTAGCTCTGAGCATGCGATGCGCTAACACAGACAACATTGTTTACATTCCGTGAGTCCGTATATTAAACGTATAAAATTCGAAAAACTCAGCTATCCAGATATTGCATTTCCAGAGACGTTGCACGAAAAAACCCCAACCAGTCAACTTCCGAGGAAGTGCAGTTTGAAGGTAAAACATCTTAAGTCGAATTTTAGACCCCTACGATTTAAACAGCGCGTTGTTTTGATGTACGCTCTATGGGACGCGCTAAAATATAAATATTCTGTAAATACCAAAATAAAAGATGAAAATCTGAAGTAAGACACAAGCTTGAAAATAACACTATAAATAGTGTTTTGGATTCTGATTCCATTAATACTATTACGAAAAAGATATGTCCAAAGGGGCCGAAGTTATGTTCGACGAAATGTAGGGCTAGTTTACATTGTTCATTATATTATGAAATATTGATACCATGCATGATGTGTTCGTAATGCCCAATGAAACACAAGTATTACTCACAAATACAAACGTTATCC